GAAGGCCACCCCTTGTAACGTGAGGGGCGGGCAGAGCTAACAAATCAAACGACTTGGGTTTCAGACCTGCACGACTTCGTCAGGATCTAACCCCTTCGGGCTGGCCGGGTCGGGAAGAAAGTGTGCGCGTGTCTGTCTGTGTCTGTCTGTCGCAGTTAGCACCCGGCAGCTGGCCAGAGTCCCGCAGCAAGGCCCTGCTGCGGCTCACCAGGATCCCACGTGGCCGAGCTCTAGCAAAAGCACCCGGACCCCGGGGCGTGGCCGAGGGGCGTGGCTAGGGCCGGGAGCGCCGAGAAGCCCCCGCCCGGCAGGAGCCGAGTGTAAGGTCTCCTGGTCTGTGCTTCTTGGCTCGGTTTTCCTCCTGCCCTCTTGTCTCGCTCCCTCCCTCCGTAGACTAACCCCTCCCATTCCCCATCTCCGCCCCGCCCCCCGTCTGGCTTTCTTCCAGGGTTTATTTTCAAGTCCTCTAGGCTTAATCCTTACAAAGAGTGTCTCAAAGGAGGTTATCTTCCACATCTGCGCCGTCCACGGCAGTGGCCAGTGGCCGCAGGTGGCTGTTGAACGCTTGGAAGGAGGCTAGTGTAACTGAGAAACGCTATTTTATTTTAACACATTTAAATTCAAAAGCTGGTAATTGATTCAGTTATTTGGGAAAACGTTTGGAGCAACTTGGGTGTATGAATCTGCTACTTCAACTGTAAATTTTATGTAATCTAAATACAGAAAATATTTACAAGGAAAATTTAGCATCTGAGTGAAGATGTGCTATGAGTGTAAAATACACACCAGATTTTGAAAATAACGATGGAAAAATTAAAATATATTTAAATATTGATTACATGTGAAATTATAGTATTTGGGATCTGTTGGGTTATATAAAATTATATTATTAAAATTAATGTCACTTGTTTCTTTTACCTTTTTTCAGTGTGGCTTCTATAAAGTTTAAAATTTCCTGTGTGTCTTGCATTGTATTTTATTATGTTTCTCTTGTCCTGTGTGCTCTGGAATGTCAATGTAGCTGGATGTAGATGAGGTAATGGCTAAGCTGAAGTGGAGTGTAAGTCCCCTCTGCCAACCTGTGGCTCTCACCATGATGCCTCCCTGTCATCCACGCAGATGAATCTTGAGTTCAGGGAACAGGGAGAAAGGCTATGGAGAGGGAAGGGAGGTGCTCATTGCCTACTCCAGGAAGTGCTCCCCCCAGTGGAATGGGAGCAAGCCCAAGGAATGAGCATTTCATGGGAACTCTGTGTCTTCATCACTGCAAGTGACTGTGACAACTGGAAGGATGCCAAAGGGGGGAACTGAAGAATCCTTGTCCAACTGAAGAGACTATCAGAACCTGGAGGGTTTTGTAATGTTTCTATTCCAAAGCTGGGCCAGCTGCTATATCACCTACTGGAGCAAAATTACCCTTGAACAGTACACCCATCTCAGTCCTAGGGCAATTAATGTGAGAATCAGAGAGTTTCTAAATGACTCAAAGAATGATGGTGTCTATCTGTAACCTTTACACGACTGCCTCTTTTAGCAAACCAGAATGTGAAATCTGGTTTTAGACAAAAGAGTGTATAGAGGATGATAGCATGTTTTACGAAAAAGATCCAAAATAAGGCAACAGACAATATACAAGAGGTACAATAGTCTCAGGAATAAAAAGAGACATAGGACCTGTTCTCTATGTTCATGTCTCTTTGGTTAGGAACCTCTCCCTCTTTTCCATCCATCTGTTGAAATCTGATTTGTTCATCAAGGCCCAGCTCCAATCCCACCTCCTCCCTGAGCCTCTTCCTGATTACCCTAGACTTCCCAGCTCCACTGAGCAGCCGTGTGATCCAGGGCTACACATGCCATAGGCCTCCATCTTCAGTAAGTGATTAAGTCCATCAGTGTGTTCTCCTTTGGATCCCAGTTCTAAGACCTGGATGCAGATGACATTATTATTTGTTCTCATTAGTGATGTGTCACCAGGCAGGGGGCAACAAAGTGCTTTGCAAATAGCAATGCTTTAACCTCACCTCCAAAAAATCAGTCTGACGTGAAAAACATTTTATTTATAATTTCTTATATTTACAGTGTATGTCTTCATTACAATCATTCTTACAATAAATACAGATGTGCTAAACAGACCATCATCACAGTGGCCTATGGTCCAAGGCACAGGTCCAAGTGCAGCAGTCTGAAGCCTCCCAAGGGTGGGTCAGGAGGCCTTCAGAGAGTTTAGTGAAGGGCAGAGGACTTGAGAATCTGAACTTGAAATGAGATTAGAGAGTCAATGTAGCAAATTCTCGAATGTCTATTAAAGAAACAGATACAGGCTTTTACCATTTGTACCGGATAACACTAAAGAAACAGAACAAAGAGACTTGATATCTCCCATTGGTGAGAGGCAAAGTAAAGGCCAGAGAAGCTGGAGGCTTTGCCAAGGTCTTTGCCCAGTCTGTGCCTTGTTTTTGTTATCTGCCTCTGTGCCTTGTTTTTGTCCAGTACACAGCCAAGCTTCACACACCACAGCACTGGTTTCCTTTGGAGGCAGCTGGTGTCAATGGAATGAGCGAGAACCTGGAGACAGGTTTCCTAATTCGGGAAGTCCCATAAGAAGTCCCACAAGGATAAGCAAAAAAGTTACAGCGTTGGTCCTTGGAGCATTCTTTGTGCTCCCCCCAGCTTTGTTTGGTCTCAGCCACCAGGGCTGCAAGCCTGGGCTGCGCTGCAGGGAAGAGGCAAGGAGAATGCCACTGTTTTTCACCTCCTACTAAGTCTTCCTTTATATGAACAGCCCTTGTGCCAGGCACAATGATCTCTGTTTTCTCTCACAAAACTCATCCACAAAAGGTCTACAGGGTTTTTTGAAAGACAGCCCCACTGCTCTGGAGTGGTTTATGTTGGTTTCTGACTGGCAGTTTGGGACCAAGCCCAAGAAAACACCTAATTCATGTTGCTGCATCCTGAGGGTTGTCCCTATTGCCATTTGATGATGCATCAAGCATGCTGATGGCAAGTGGGACGCCACCCCAGGCTCCAAGGCTGTCAGAAGTCTCATGCATGCACGCACACAGAAATACAGACAAACACACACGTGTGATACCCCATCAGGTCACAAAACACAGGACTTGCCATCACTACGAAAAGTTGTGATAGTGGAGAAGAATTCTCAGCATCGGAAGGAGGAGTAGAAGGAAAAAGATATTATAAAGAAACCTGTGCTTCAAGAGGACATTCCATGCTGTCAAAATGAGATTGTGAATCAGCAAATTCTCTGTGAACTGCAAAGCACTAGCAATTAGGGGTCAGTGGCAGAGGTTCCTTCTTGAGGGCTGGCCTGTGGCTCACTCGGGAGAGTGTGGTGCTGATAACACCAAGGCCACGGGTTAAGGTCCACTTATAGGTCATCTTTTATAAAAAAAAAAAAAAAAAAAAGAGGTTCCTTCTCAGTCACGAACTTAGCTGACCTCCATGGGGCTCCCACTGCTACAGAAGGAAAATGAAAAAGGAGTTAAGTCTTCTCGGAAACTGCTGGTGTGACTTGAGGGGAAGAACATGGAGAATCTTAGTAATGCCCCATTTTTTTTTCCTTTTTGTCTTTTTTCGTGACCAGCAACGGATCGCAACCCTCAGTGTCGCGCCCGTACCGGACCAGGACCGGCAACGGGATCGCAACCCTCGGTGCCGTGCCCGCACCTCGCTCAGCCAGTGAGCGGGAACTGGTCTGTATGTGGGATCCGAACCCTCAGCGGGAGCGTTGCCGCGCTCCCAAGCGGCGCACTGTAGCAGTGCGCCACCAGGCCGGCCCGTAATGCCCCATTTTTATTGGTCCCTAGATACCATGACAATGCCAGCCCTGACACAGGTAACTTCCTGATTTTACAGCATGAAAATATAACTAAACCACAATTCGACATCCTCTAAGTCAGAGGAGTAGATAAGTCCCAATTCCAGGTTGTCAGTAGGGACACTGCAGAAGTGGCAGAAATGAATTTGAGCAAAGGAGACGAAGCTCTACAATCATTTTGCCTCTGTTTCCTCTACATTCAAAAGCAGATTGGGTCATCTCAGACCTCACGTCTACTCTAGGAGATTGAAAGCAACAGCACATTCTCAAGGAATAGCCTAATTATTTATATAGAGTACCAAACATATCTACCACACTGACAGGAGATTGGGTTTGGACTTAATATTCTGTCCTCACATTATGTTTTGATAAACAGCTTATGATTATTCCAATTCTGATTCCAAAACAGACTCTCCCAGACCATTTGTGTCCTCTCCTCTCTCTCCCAGCCCCTCCCTTCTCCTCTCTCTCTGTCTCTCTCTCACTCTCTGTCTCTGTCTCCTTTCTCATCTCCACCAAGAAATGGAACTTGAAACTGCCTTTCTGTAAGTCTCTGAAAATGCTCCTAATATATTAAAATGTGTATCTCTTGTTTTCCTTTTCTCTCCATCACTTGACCCGCCCTGTCTCAATTCTTACCCCTGAGTTGTGAAGTCAGATTAAAGGTTTTGTCATAGCAGAAGGAAATCAGAGGGAGATGACCCCTCCTCTGAGGAAAGAAGCTGAGTTTCAAAATCAAAACCTAAGCAGAGAGTGCACAATCTGGTGTGAAAAGCTTGGAGAATAAGCAGAATTGCCAGGACACTTGAAAGTACACCCGAGTGAAGCCCTGGATGAAAGCGTTTCCAACCAGTAATACCTCACCAGAAGGCAGCTTGCTTTGTGACCCCAGAGTCCAAACCACCTTACAATCTCACACAGATACAGCAAACAGCTCAGAGTTTCTGCCTCTTGGTCTGAGAGTTCATCCCATCCATGGATCGCACTGGGGGTGGCCATGGCACCAGGGCAGGAGGACACCCAACTGGAGGCTCCCTGAGGGTCTGGGGTGTTGCAGGTTGAGCTCCAGAGAACACCTGGAGGTGTTTCAAGTGTCCAGAGAGCCAAACTGTGTAGTGTCCAAAGCAAGGTCCTTCCCTGAACATGCCTGGGAGTGCCAGGTACTTCAGGCATGGGCCTCAGTCTCTTTCTTGATGGCTGGTTTGTAAATGACTCCCTTGCTGCTGTCACCTTTTTTGCTACTGGAACAACAAGAAAACACAAGTCTCGTTAGTAAAAGAGGAGAGAGGGAGAGCCGGAAAGCAGCCAGACTCAGCTATGGAATGAGGCAAGTTTTAGAAGTCAGATTCCTCTCTTTAGGACCTTTCCCTAATTTTGTTGGCCTTGGGAGGGAATACCCCCAAGGGTAAAGCATTAACCAAAATGGGACCTGTTCTTTTAACAGCTGACAATACTAGACCTGCATTTTGAAGAAGGTCTTATCATCACCCCTATTTCAAACCTTTGATTCCATAACAGGGTTCCTGGCAACCTTTTTATTTTTCATACTAGGAAAAATAAATTAGGTTTTCGGAAAAGCTAAACATGACAGTAAAAACACAGGCAAAAGGCATTAATAGCTAATATGATTGGGAAACCAGATTTTCCTTCATTTTTCTTTTTGGATTCACAGAAGAAAAACCAGATGGAAAGATCTTAGTAAGACAGCCTTGTTGCTCGTGTTTAGGCACAAGCCCCAAATCAAGAGTCTTGTCCGAGGTCAGACAGGTAATTAGCAGTGGCAGTAAGGCTGGCTTGCACACCTCCAAATATGAGCACAGTGACCCCTGCACAAACAGTGTCCCATGCAAAGCAGGTCTGGGCACTGGTGTTTTGGGAATAGCATTTCTCGGGTAAGTGTTGGTCCAGGTGACATTCTGGCTGTCTTCCCAGACAGTCCAATTGCTGTGGACACATAAGCCACCCAGTCCCATTTCAGACCCAGCTCACCTCTTCTTCCTTCTGAAAAGCCAAATGGACACTGCCAGGACAACACAGATGCTGAGGACACCAGCCAGGGCCACCGAAAGGATGATGCCTGGTGAAGAGGCAGGGCACACATTACATTCCCCCCTCCCCTTCCGCTCATCCCCACGGCACACAGGTGTGAAATCACATCCAGCTGAATAATCACCCACAATAAAGGTATGATTTCCCCATCTCTGTTCTCAGAGTCTGGTCTTTGGCTTGGTGGGACTTGCTGGAGTACTTTAGAGGGGGCCATTTGCAAATTGTGGTGGTTTTCTAGCAGGGGCTCTCAAATTTGTACAAGTAACAACAGAGGAGCTTGTTCAAAATGTAGATTTTTGTTTTAGCCCAACCCTCCAAGACTGAGATTCAGTCAGTTTGGTGTGGGGCCCAGCAATCTGCATTTTACCAAACTGCTCCAGCTGATGCTGGTGATGTGGTCCATAAACCACACTTTGAGAAACCCTGTGCTACAGAATAAGGACTACTCCATCTTTGCTTGCTGGATTTAAGGCCCATTGGGATGTCTATCAGTTTTGCCACCAAGTTCCAATGCATAGTCCTAAGAAGTTCCAAACAACCAGTAGCCCATTGTCAAGGTCACAGCCAGCCACCTGACCTCCACACTGGGCTCAGGTATGTTTTCAGGCAATGACCTCCCACCATGACCAACAGGAGACCTTAGATGGGCTCTCTGAATGTACACGTGCTGAAGAGCGATTAGGCCTTTCATTAGAGCAACGCTTGATTGGCAGTTCATCTTTGAATTGGAGAGAGACTTGAGGGTAAAACCCATAGCAAGGAGGGGGCCAGGAGCCAGAGCGACAGCACAAAGAAGCAGAGAGGATGGGCTGGAAGTGTCACAGGCCCAGATCACACCGAGAATCACAGTAATCACTCAGCTGCAGCATGCACAGCTGGCCAGCCGGCCACATACCCAGACTCAGTCCTGTGTTGGTAAGGATTTGCGCTTAACAGGGGGAAGGAAAAGATTGGAAATTAGTCTAAGTCAATCCATGCTGGATTTGACCAGTGTGTCCAGAACAGCTCCACCTTTGGTTTGCTTGGTGGTGCGGGGCTTATGCAGACCTTCTGGGGCTGTTCACCGTCTGCTGATGGAGGTGAGGGAACTGCCCACCTGGGGCATACAGTGATCCCGCTTCCTCATGCTCCTTTATCACAGCGTCTCTGCCAGGGCAGGACTTCAGCTTTTAAAACAATGTGGCTAAAGAGAGAAGGTGAGGAAGGGTAGGAATCAGAGGCCACTTGGGCAGGCTATTGTCTATTTCTCTGGTACCTGCCCCTCTTCCTCAACAAGGAACCTGCATCAGACTTCCCTACCCCATCCAGTCTATCATCGTCGTTTAGTTCTATTTGCTTCAGCTCTACTGGACAAACTCCTCCACCGTACCAGCCTACCTCCTCTGCTACATGGAAGCAGAGGATTACACTTTCTCCCAGCAAGTTTCTGTTGGGGATAAATGGGGTGTTAGGAGTCCTCAGTGGGGCTGAACTAGTGCTTTTCTATCTAAGGTGAAATAGCACAGTCGGCCTAGTAGGGACCTCCCCAGGGCCGCAGGGAGGAGCGGGGGAGGTCAAGTGTGAATCCGGCTTCTTGAGTGAGCAGAGGAACCCAGTCATGACGTCTACTCTGGGCCACCCCTAGCCTGCTTCTTTCAGGTTTTTACAACTATTCCCCATTCTCCAAGTCAGGGCATCCATCTAAAGAAAGTTTATTTCCACATACCCTTTTATCTGGTGGTATTCTGATCTTAGTAGAAACTTGTAGTGTCAGGGGAAAGTTGGTTAGAGGGAATGGTTCTAACTCACACTGGAAGCCAGAGCTATACAGACAGTGGCCACTCAGCCTGACACACAGAAGTGCTTGTGCCCATAGAGCTCACTGTGGCAACTGAGACCCCAGGGAGCCCTGGCCAGGTGTGAGGTGCCAGGAGAGTGTCAGCAACTCTCCTCGGGGCACTTGACACCCAGGGAATCAGACCTGAGGCTACAGGGTGAGGTTTTGCTCCCACCTCTCCTGTGCTGTGGCTGGAGGCTGGCTGATTCCCCAGGAGCCACCAGCCATGTGTTTTTCCTACTGTTTTCTTCTGCAATCTCACAAGGAGGCTGCAAAGCCTCCCTGGTCCAAGGCTGGCCCCAGGTGGCCCCAGGCTGCTGTGAGGGTGAGCAGAGCAGGCATGGAGAAGAGCCGTCCCCAAGGACAGGGTGGCCTGTTCTCCCTGCTCTTGCTGGCCACCGCCAGTAGCTCATGGCCTCCCAAGTGGCAGAGAGAGGGGGTTCCCCTGGCCAGATTTCCTGCTCCAAGCCTTTTCTTGTAACCTGAACACAAGGACCAGTCTGTGGCCTGGGGAGGCGCTCAGGACACGAGTCTCCACCTGGAGAGAGCTTCAAGTGTTTGTACAGCACATGCTCTTGTCCCTGCCTGGCCTGTGGCCTCTGCACAGTGTAACCTGGTATTTCTGTTTGTTGGTTTTTTTAAAAAGGTACCCAGAGACCTTGTTCATTGGGATCTAAAAAAAACAAACATAAAACCTAGTTGTGGTTTCTTTTCCAAGCCTTTGATGAAATACACTTTTGTTCTTTGTTCCTAAAGCTCCAGATGCTTGTGGTGCCAAACCAGTTCTTGCCACATAAAGACTATTACTAGTAAGCCTAACTATTTGGCTAAGCCATCCAAGCGGGACACTTTCTAAAGTTATGTCTATCTCAGTCATCTTAAACATCCTGAGAGCCACACAGGCCCCCTAAATAGCTGAGCAGCCCTAGTGTGTGGCTGGAGGAGATGCCCTTCATGTCATGGCCTTAGGGAGCTGAACAAAGTCTAGGAAGAGCAAGGCCCCAGGATGAGACATTTTGCAAGAGCACATGACCCAGCTTGGTGGCTTCTCTGGAGGGAGTCTGGCTTCCCCCATTCACTGTGCAGTGCTCCTGACTGTAATCAGCCCTGGAAACATCAGCATAATTTAATCCAGCGTTCAAACCCCAGCTCTTTGCCCCTAGATACCCACTTGTCAGGGCCTAAATTGCCCCTTCTCGGACACAATGAAATGAGACCAAACAGCCATGAAGAAAAGACAAGGAAGCCCCCAGAGACTGGGACTTTGATGCAGCAAAAACAAAACAGCTTGACTGAGCAAGCAAAGAGCATAAGCCACTAAAGAAGAATGCTGGCAAGGATGTCACCTAAGAGTTCTACTACCTCCTGAAGCCCATGGCAGAAAGATGCTGGTGGAATGCTGTCCCTGCCCATCAAGACAGCACCAACCATCACCAAGGCACAGCTTCTCTGCAGAGGTGGACCAAGCTCACAGGGCTTCGGTTTCATTGCTAACTAAAGGGAGAGGGAAAATCAGCAAGACTTTCAAGGCACAGGGAGAACCATCAGGGCGATTGGAGAACTAAAGGCCAGAGAGAGAGAAGCCAAAGCCTGTTTAACACAGAGCCTCATCTGGGTGCGAGTCCAGCTTCTGGGGCGTTGTAGAAAACAGGCATCAAAGATGGCGCAGGGAGGGGCAGAGCCAGAGAAATCTATCTTCAGACTTAACAAAAAAATGGCTTGTTTCTGAACAGAAAATAAGACAGGCAGTTCTCACTGAAGAACAATGGGACAGACGGTAGACATGGAGATAGGCTGGGTCAGAGAGATGGCCTTCAGGAGCCACCAATGAGAACTCAAGAGGAGGGACTCCTGAGCTGGCTGGTAAGAGGGCGAGCCTGCAGATGTGGGGGAGATGCCTGCTCTGCACAAAGTGCTCTGGTGCAAGTCAGGAGAACAGAGACAGGGCAGCGTGACACACAGAAGGAAGTCACACAGATACAGAAGAGTCTGATGGTCACACGCCTCCTCCAGGAAGACAGAGACACCTGGAGAAGGTCAGCGGGTGGCTTGCCACGAGGGCCTTGCTACCTGTTCTGGCTGGCTCAGGAGCTGCGTCTTCCACTGGCATCTTGCTGGATGAGGGATGCTGGTTAACCGCTTTTGAGGTCTTCTGAAGACTCAAAGGTAAACACAGAAAAGACCAGCGGGAGGAACAAGCACCTCATTTACACATCCTGGGGTTCCTGGAACAAAGGTCTAGTATTTTCTAGCTCTATTTGCAGTCCCGTTTGATTGTGAAATACAATACTTTTCCTTTCAAATGATTATTTTAAAGTATGGACTGTTTTTGTAGGTGGCATATTACATAGTGATAACATATATACATATCTGGGCCTTTAGCAGTGTCCAATCTTGTAAAAGAGGCCAGGAGAGCTTAGTTTTACCAGGGGGTTGATAATTTAAATACATATAATCCAGTTGAGGATAGTAAAAACTCCCATTATTATGCTTAATAAAAGTTACAGAGTCAAGGAACTACAACACTAGTATTTTCTCTGGATGATGCTTTGGTAAGAAAAGCAAGGAAGAGGCCCTTAACAACCACACAGCATAACTATATTTCGAGTACTTATTAACTGGGAAGATTTCTTTATTAACACTATGAAACCCAATAAATAAATAATATCTTCAAAGAAATCTGTCAAAAAGATTCCACCAGATTACACAAGAGCACTGGGTTCATATAACCATGATAAGGACTGAAGGCTTTGCCTTCCAGATTGCAGGAATGCATGCCCAGAGCAGAAAGCCATATTGCTCTAAGGGGCCTAAGTCCTGGAGCAGCAGGGATGGTCACAATGCCAGCACTGGGTGCTTAGCACTGCAAGCTGCCTTCGGTGGCCCAGGCTCTCGGGTGCCGAAGGAATGACAGAACCAGGGCCTTATAATTCCTGTCAAGCCAGAGCCACAGAAACATGACAGCATCTCTACGCGATTTCCTCCCATACCTTCAAAACTTGACAGTAAGTTCTGATCTTTAGTTTTTCTTAAACAAATGGGTTGATTTTAACATTGTTGGCAAATTGAGAACAGAGCAAAATAAGACTTCATAAAACTCGAATATGACAACTGGCCAGGCTTATGTGTAAATAGTTCTGCAGAGAAGACACTAGTGACGGGATGGGATAAGAGAGGGCTGGTTACAGTCTTTCAACAAGCTTATGAGCACCAGCTACAAGGCCAGGCATAAAAAATGAGTTGGATGTCAATCATCCCTGTCCTTAATGAGCTTGTAGTGTGCATATAACACATACATTTTACATTTTTTTTTCTTTTTCTTTGTTTTTACTGTATGATAATAAATAATTATTCTGTGGTATGCCAAGTACCATAACAGAGATAAATAGGTTGTTCTGACCTCACTGAAGAAGGAGACTGTACGTCACCTCCAGGGGAATGGGGAAGACTTCCAGGAGGATATGATTAGAGTGGGGTCTTGAAAGAATTTTCCATGTGGACAAGGGAAAGGGGCATCCCAGACAAAGGGAATAGTGTGTACACTTGAAAGCACCTGCCGTGTTAAGGGAGGCCCTACAGTTTGGTGGCACAGAGACTGAGAGGGCAGGGGCAGGTGCCATGGGGAGACAATATGAAGAGATCAGCTGGGGCCACCTCAACAAGGGGGAATCCAGTCTTCGGCCTGACCCCTTTTTCCACTGTCTTTCCTGAACACGGTCTGCTCTGTGCCAGAGACTTGCTGTTAGGAGCCAGAAGACATCCACGGTGGGGTTTTCCATTCCCCACAGTGCATGACTCAGGCTACACCCAGGAAACACGTGGTATGTTGAAGGGACTAGGACTTCACTTGTTAGCACCTGTGACCATTGCTCCTGCCTGTTCAGTCCCCGATTTAGGGATTTGACAGTGGGAACGCCCCTGGTTACTCATTTGGATACTTTGGAAGAATTGATGATACTCTTCCATATAATAGTTTTTATTTATAAATAAATAGAAACTTAAAGAAACACAGGTCAATAACCACCGTGCATACATTCTGGTATTAAAAAATTAAATAATTAGCCATCTTAGCTGTGTAAGATTTCTGTCTCTCCTTTTAAGGTTTTATAAGACTACCCAGGTCACCTGGGGTCAAGCAGATTCTAACTGCACTACTCCGCAGATTTGCTGTGGTGACAGCCCCCCTCCTTGGCCGTCCAGCTCTCTGGTCCCAGTGTGCCTCAGCTGGCTCTGGGCTCTGCAGCCGGTGACATGCAATTGCTCAGAGCAAGCCCACTACAGACATGATTATAGAAACTTTTTGGCTTCCTTTCGTCCCTCAAGTTTCCCTTGCTGTGACTTGTTGAAGCTAGGGTTAGATGATACTCAAGATTTAGGTTTGATGGCCTCTGACTTTATTACCCATCACCATATGGACCCAGTGTTGGTGCCATTGGCTGGGAAGAGGTCAACTTGAAGGAACCAAGAAGGCAGGGACGTACATCTGCCTCTGCCATCTTTCCCCTTTCCTCACTTAGAGCTCTGACTTCCCGTGAAGCCTGAACTGGTCCCACGATGCAATCCCCCCTTCAGGAGCCCACCTTGAGGATAATGAGGCTTGTTTCCCCTTCCACTCAAGTCTTCCGTCTGTGCCATTTGAAATAGGCATTTAAGACCTGAAAAAAGTGCCTGCCATGACTTTCACCTTGCCATAAAGAGCAGGCGTTTTAACCAAAGGCAACAAGAAATGGAACATGCAAGAGCGAAAAATGTGTACGAAGGGGAGGGAGGATAAGAACGATGAGGGGATTCCGGGGAAAGTTGCTACTTGTATTCCAGAGGCACCTGGACCCCCAAAAAAAGACAAAAAAAAAAAAAAAAGAAAAGAAAAGAAAGAAAAAAAAAAAAGGGCTGGCCTGTGGCTCACTGGGAGAGCGTGGTGCTGACAACACCAAGTCAAGGGTTAAGATCCCCTTACTGGTCATCTTTTATAAAAAAAAAAAAAGAAAAGAAAGAAAAAAAAAAAGGGCTGGCCTGTGGCTCACTGGGAGAGCGGGGGGCTGACAACACCAAGTCAAGGGGTAAGATCCCCTTACTGGTCATCTTTTATAAAAAAAAAAAAAGAAAAGAAAGAAAAAAAAAAAGGGCTGGCCTGTGGCTCACTGGGAGAGCGGGGGGCTGACAACACCAAGTCAAGGGGTAAGATCCCCTTACTGGTCATCTTTTATAAAAAAAAAAAAAAGAAAGAAAGATAAAAAAGAGGCACGCGGACCCCTGAGGAAGGGGTTTGTACACTTCTTCTAAGGGGGAGTCGTTCTCTCTCATGCCATTTCCCTTAGCCTTACCTAATTATATAAAAAGAATATAAACTCAAATTCTAAAGGAAAATAGGGAATAAGGCTTCTCTTCGGTTTGTTTGTTCTACCTCGGTAACTTCAATCTTATTGTTTCAGGGGTAACCATCACCAGATTGAAATATTCATGCCATAAAAGAATAAAGACTAGGGCATGGGTTATGAAACTCTAGAACTCTATGACATCAGTGGAAAAATCAGCTCCGGGCCTTGTAAAGTCACTGTACAACCTCCAGGGTAGTGATCCTCAATCAAGGGCAACTCTGTCTCTCCTCCCCTGGAGACACTTGGCAATGTCCAGAGACAGTTTTGGCTGTCACAACCAGGGCATGCCACTGGCATCTAGTGGGTAGAGGTCGCGGGTGCTGCTAATGCTACAAGGCACAGGACTGCTCCCCACACAAGAACTGTCCTGCCCAAAGTATCAGTAGTGCCAAGGCTGTGCAACTGCCCTATGGCTAGGTTAGCTAAGTTGTAGCTAGACTATGAACCCCTTAAGGACAGAAACCAGGTCCTGGACTCCTTTTCTAAGCAGTTAAATGATTCTGTCCCAATTGTCCCAATCAGATTAAACTGCAGATCTTCCCCCAAAGTCTATGTATTTTCTCTCCTAGAGGACTTCCTTGACATTACTTTTCTCTCCTGGCAGAATTTTCTGACTCCAGAGTTCTTGTTAACTTCCAGAGAAAACCCTGAGTAAACCAGACTCAAATTACAAACGTGCTTCAGTGGAAGCCTCTACAAATAATTGAGTCCAAATTGCTCTAGGTTTGTGCTGACAAGCAAGCTCTCCATAAACCTGCAATGGCATGTTACAGTCTGAGGCCCACTCTAAGATGGGGGTCAGAGGCCCTCGTGAAGGCAGGCCTCCCTGGGCAGAGGAGTTTGGGCTTCACTCCTCTGGGCCTGCCTCCTCATTGCCCCTTGGGAAGCAGCCACATTTGCTACCTGAGCCTTTGGGAAGTAAGAGGGAGGGGGGAATTCTGGCCAAGTTTCTATAATCAGCCTCCAAATGAACAGTTTTGCCTTGGGCTGCCACAGAGACTGTCACTCCAGGGAGGAAGCTGGGCCCAGCCTGGACTCATGGGAGCAGCAGCTCGGGGCAGGCCATGCAGGAGCGGCAGTGGCAAAGCTGCATTTGGGCTTTGATCGTGAAGCCCTAAGCCAGGAGCTGGTCTGCAGGCTTCTGCTTAGAGGCCCCTCACACTCCCCCAGCCCAACTGGGAGAAATCTACTGAAGCACTCTGTTACAAACCTGCCTGCACTGCCCACTCTACAAGCGGCTGCTTAGACCTGAGCTGGTCTAAGAAGATGGCTAATTACATCCAGTGCCACAGTCCATCATTACAAGTGGGGGTTACTTTTGGAAGTCAGACTCAAGTTCCTGCATGGTTTCTTCTGATCCTCTGTAACTGCCCTCAAACTCTGTCCCTGCAATGTAAAGTCAGGATTGGCAGTTGTTAGTGTTTACTTAGAATCATAACATTAACACTGAAAGGACTTTAGGTCACCTAGTTCAACCTGGCATTTTATGGCTGAGGAAACCAGGGTCAAAGAAGGTACACAATCTGTCCATATCATACAGCCAGGAGAAAACAACACAAGGCCTCGAACCTAGGTCATCTGACCATAGGGAGAGTATCTGTTACCCTATTCCCCGGGGCGTGCATAGACTAGCTCAGAGAACAGAGCTGATAAGAGAATCCTAGGATTACAAGCAAAATTCTACCTGATCTGTGTGGGCAAAGTCCCTTATTCGCTGGCAGAGTTTTTATATTTTTAATTTTATTTAAGAGTTGATGTAGTTCCATTTAACCCTGGAATACTACATTCTCCATTTAGCAGAATAGGAAAAGAGAATGTTGTATCCAGAATGGATCACAAATGGGTAATTCTGTGCATTTGGGTCAATTTCTAGAAAAGAAGTTGGTAGTTATGTATCATATAGATTCTCAATTTTCAGTAAGGGCCATAGTTCACATATTCTGTTTTCAGATTGAGAAATGTAGGAAAAGAGCAAAATTACCTTAACTAGTGGTATCTGGAGAGGAGAACACAAAAGAAAAATTGTTGGGCAGTTTTTAATTAAGTAACTGACAGAGGACATAATTCTGGTCTTGTGTAAGTTTCTAAAGCTTTCTAGCAAGGGCCTTGAAACACAATCTTCATATGTTCAGCTAAGTTTAATAAATGACAGTTACAATAAGAAAGGAACAACAAAAAAAAAAAACGTGCACCAGGAGAGACGAGGAGAGTGGATTCTCTGAGAAGTGGGTTAATGTGGTCATCTTTTCACTATGAACTCTTGGCCCAGCTCCACACACAAGTGATGGAAGGGGATGAAGTGGAACTGCCACGGACCTGCCCCATCTCCGACCACCCACGATCCCCAAGCTGGGAGCAGCCCGAGAATCTACCATGAGAAAGTGAACTTGGAGTTTTGAAGAAGGGTACAGGCCCCACGGAGGCTCCTGTACCCCTTTCCCCTGACCCTCGGCTTCCATCAGGATTGATACAGGCAACGGAGCAAGGAAAAATGTGAATGCCCTTCTGCGGAATTACTGTTACAGATTTAAAAGGAAGAATCGAGCCCTCATAGCATTAGGCCTAAGCCAAACTCTTAAGCTTCGTTCAGTGTGGACCATGTGTCCTGTGCTTATGCAGGCTCTAAGGAGATTAGACAAAAAGGCAGTGAACAAAGGCGCTTTCTGGCCTGATGCACTCTACTCCTGTGGCACAAGTTGCTGTGGCACAGACATGGGTTATGCCCACTGGTTTACATCTAGCAAAGGAGCATCCCCAGATAGTGGTGGTGCGTGAACCACCTGGCCAGGCCTGAGATGGGCGGCTGTAGCCTTTGAGGCCAAGAAAGCCTAGTGTGAGATGCTAGAAGTCTGGTCTTGTGAAAAGAGTCCTATCATGTGTCTTAGGAGAAGGGATCGTTCTCCAGAACAAAGTCCCCAAGAACTTTCCCCATCTGTGGGAGACTCTCAGGCTTAATGAGCATTCTGGCCCATGGAGGCCCCAGCTTATGCTTCTCTACAAGGACTCAGAGAAGTAGAGAGCAGGAGAGGAAGACCTAAATAACTCCCCACCCCCACCAGAGCTTCTCCACGCACCCTGGTTCCTGTGGCAGCCAGGTGCTGGTGACCCATCTCCTATGGGCACCAATGGCAGAGACCGACTTCCTACCAAACGCATGTCTTGGCACCACACTCCCCCACAAACACTGCACCTCCTCACCTTGTTGGAAGGAGACATACACCAGTCCCTCATCGAACTTCTGGACCTGCCGGAAGTTGTTGACCATTTCTCTGGGTGAAGGGTCGTCCTGCTGTGTGCAGTACAGAGCTGTCTCCAAAGCCAGCAGCTGAGGGGAAGAGCAGAAACACACCCGCAGGCAGAGTGATGCCCCCTGCCTGGCCTTCCTGGGGAGGAGCACTGCAAGCTCTCTCCTCACATTTGAGAGAAGCCTCTGGAACCAGCCCCTGCGGTGCTTGGTGAGAGACATAATGAAGCAGCAAAAAAGCCAGAGAACTGCCCCCACCACGGGTATGGGAAACTGGGAGCCTGCTGGTCTATCTTCCCAGCTCCTGAGGTTCCAGGGCAGGGCAGTACTGTCAGCTCCAGATTACACCTGGAATCTGTCCCGCATGGAGGGAAGCCTGTGGACATGGAGGCTCCTGTGGACATGGACTGTGTTCTTCTCATAAACCTGAACTGGAACCCAGCTCTAAGCCAGAGGGGCTCCAGGATGGTTCTGATGGTCACATCACAAGGAATAAAAGGAGGTAGGTAAGTTTCACAGGTCATTTGCATACACCCACCCAGATTATATAATCAGTTTCCAGGACAGTTCCTCCGTTAGGATGTAGCTGCTTCCCCACATTTCATCTCTCGACTCATCACATCCTCATTCCTGTCTGTCTACCTACTGCCATTGATTTAGGTTACTCAGCTCCAAAGCTCACAGTAAAGAGAAGGAGCAACTGGGAGAGCTGTCCGGGGCTCCTGAGGCTGGGCACGGGCAGCACCGGCCCCACCCCCGCTCCTGGGGGCCGTCTTTCTTCCTCGAGAATTTTGGGATGAGTAGAGAGAGGGATGAGTGATGGCTTGGAACTCAGATGACCTGACTTTGGGACTCAGCTTTGTCACTAACCAGCGGGTGATCCCACAAGCTCACTTCCATCACCTATAACATGAGAGGTTTGTAGATGATGGCTAAGGATTTCGTTCCCCAGTTTGCACTACACTGTGAGCTTCTTGAGGGCAGGGACCCTCACTCACTCACTGCTGCAATCCCGGCTCCCTCATTTGTTAAATGATTTAACCTGATCCTGTCTTTATTCTGCCCCATACAGGAACCAGGCTCCTTCCCGCCTGGGAAGTGAACACCATCCAGCCACTGATGGATAGATTAGCAAATGCAGCTTTACGGCTCTTTTTTAAAGAACCATGGAGACGTGTATTCATTTTCCTCCCTTGACTTGATAGCTCCTCTTTTGAGGCTCGGCCTGGAATTTCTGCCATGCTTTCAGGCACTTGTGATATTTGGAGAGGTTTTGAACAGCTGCCAATGAAACTCTGAGTGAGGAAACCAAGTTATTGATTACAATGCTAGTTAGAATAGGGACTGAGGTGCCACGTGAACTCTGGCTCAGACAGGCACGACGGTTACCTGCTCCTGGGAAATTTGCACAGGGTTTCGGAAAACCGTCCAGAGCACAGTGGGGTGGCAAGGAGGTGTGGTCAGGGACCCTCTGTAGCGGTAGTATTCAGCAGGCCTCTCAGGAAGCAGTTCTTCAACGTTGAAGCCTGGGATGTGCACTTCCTGGCCTGGAGAGACACGTTGGGGGCACTGGCGTCAGCCTGGCTCCCTATGGCAGAGGTGCAGCTGAGCGTAGCGATGGCCGTCCAAACCGAGGACCTGCGCACGACACTGCTCAACAACCTGCCGCCCTTAACCTGGTGAACGCAGACAGCACCCACCTCTTACATTTGTTTTTCTTAAAGTCACATGGGGGTGACTACATCCTCCATCAGAGAGTCAATAAGCATCCAAGGACCCCTCACCTTTGTACTTTACATGTTGAAGATGACTGAAGATATTGTCATATGATGGATTGAAGGAGCCCACCTGCAACAGAGACCAGGCAGGTTGAACTGGGACAGAACACTATAGACTGAGTCTAGATAGACAATTGCTATCAGAAGGGCTGGGCTGGGGGTGTGTAGCCACCACTACTGAGCTCCTCCCTAAGGGATCCACTTTACTAGGACATTTAAGATAGGTCATAGGCTGTTAAGAGTTAGTGGGGATAGTCCTGCTCTCTTGCATCTCAGGATGTCCTATTTTCAGATTAAAGCATCAAGCTTGAGTGTCCCAGGGTATGGGGTACTGTGTGTCCTCCTGATTATCTGGATATGAGTCTGAAGGCCACAACTACTATGTTCATCTAACCCAGGACTTAGGGGAGCTCTGAGTTCACAAAAGCCAAGTCATAAGAGTAAACACGTTGGGTAATGATGTACTTGCTGCCTCATTAGGGGAAAAGAATGTAAGCAAATCAGAAGATATTCCCATTTTCTGGGATTAAAGAAAGCATTCATTCCAGGGTCCATGTATAGGTTGGAGCTTGGACACCAGGAGCTGCATCAGGGGTGCAGACACCTGATGGGGCAGCGTCATGATCCCCTTCCCCCACAGGTCCTCTCCAGCTGGCCGATCCCACGCCTCATGCAACAAGGCTTGTGACTCATTTTTTCAGCATCACAAAGGACGTGCCCATTTCTGCTGTCCAGCCACAGAAAGTGCTGCCTTCAGGCCAAGAGAAGTAGGAACCCTAGGGGGGAATGCCCCCTGCTCTGGAGGCATTCTTATTACCAACAGGTGTGCAGGAAACAAAAGTTTGAATCCCGATCTCATCCCTGCTTTAAATTTCATGTCAGAATCTTTTAAATATCTCTTACCTCAATGAGAACGGCTAGGACAGCGAGGCCTTCTGACTTGTTACTGGCAGTCATGGCATCAGGATACAGGTCTGAGTTATAATGGACAATGTGCATCTGCCATGCAAGAGAAGCCACCCATCAGAGGACCAGTGACTCACGGGAGCCTTTTGCTTCTGTGGCAGACTTGAGTCCAACTGGGAGGACAGATCCCTGTCTCCTCACCCCTCCACAAACTACATAAGGCCTCTCAGACCCTCCCCTCTTGGCATCCCCATTTTTCTCTTTTCCCTCAGTCCTCTCTAAACTGCAAACTCCACCACAGCAAACTGTCTGTCTTATTCACTCATTGTACCCCCAGAGTCTGATATTGATGCCTGGAAACTACCAGGTGCGCAATACATGTGAATAAATGAATGGATTTTTCATACTAGCCATGAGAAAGCTTTGCTCTATATGGAGCAAAAAAAACCTCCCTTCTGATTTTTCCTACTTATTCTGGAGCCTGGGGCAAAATGGTCTCTTGTGGCTTGCCCAGCCTCAGCCCTGGCCTGTCTGCACTTGATCTGGAAGCAGTGGGGGCTGGGGCAGGAAACCTCCAGCTGTAGCCTAATTGTAATGATATTCAGCACGGGGCTCGTATTTATCCCCCAAGTGGAAAAAATCATTGCATGGCTTTTATAAAGATTTTATCAACCATTCTTTCAAGAGCCCATGAAATAGGAATATTACTCCATGAATATAGACTTTTATCTTTACAAAATAAACTTCTAAACTTTTTTTTTTCAGAGCAGAAACTACTTGTCATTATTAAGGTGAGGAAAGAGAAGTTTTTAAGAAATCCTGGGTTTAAGAAGTCTGGGTATTAGTAAGACCAGTGTTTAATATTTAATCTGGTTTTTAATCCTAAAGGTGGTATCACCTGGCCTTCAAAAAGCTTTATTAACAGATAGATCTACATATACAACACGTGTTTTTGTTGATTCTTTACCCTTGAGACTATGACAAATTGAGATTTTTATCTCTATTTCTTTACTTTCTTTTCATTTATCTCTTTTTCCATCTTATGAGTTTATAAATAGAATTCAAGCATATTTGGAATACAGCTTAATGTCCTCATTTTGTGCTTTCCAAGAGGCCCTTTCTACTTTTTAAAAATTTTATCAATTGCTTTCTTAAGTGGTCCTCTATTAGGGATTTCTTAGGGGCACTTGCTTCACCATCTTTCCCCCTGAAGGACACAGCCTGCCTGCCCACACCCTCTTGGTCTGGCATCACTTGAGAAACAGAACTGGATTCTGTATGGCTAAAACCCTCAAGATCCTAGGTCCTTATTCCTTTTTGCAGCTGCTCTTTGAGCTTGTGGTCTGTCTGAACACTTTCCTTACTGTGTTCAGATTAGAAGTGAAGACTCATCAGGCATAAGGGAATTCCCTGCTGAGGAGATTAAAAAAGAGTCTTCTTATATAGACTCCATCCAGAAAAACCACTACACTTTCCGTCCATAGAGAGTCTGCCACTTAGGGTCACCCTGATGTCTTTTCTCTAGTATTGGGATTTAGGGTCCATCTTCGTTAGACCCTGGCTTAATAGCAGAAAATACAATAACTAGAAATACATTTAAATGCATAAAGTCTCCTTTATTCCCCATGGGGGAAGTGGAAGCCTCAACATTGCAATTAGCCTGGAGAAAATTGAAGCTCTTGAGCTTCAGGGAAGGGCTTGCTCTGAAATATGTGAACCTCCAGTAGCACATCCTATTGGGCCAGAATCATATTCCCTCCACACTTGTAACTAGACCTAATAATTAGCCGAGACATTAATCAGTTCAGCAGTTATGGACAGAGGAGAATGGGTACATCATTATTCACCATGCACTCTCCAGGCTAACCAGGAGCACGTATCTCCTTGTAGTTCCCTGTAAACATTCAGAGTCACCCCTGGCCCCCAGGTTCAGTGCTATGGGAGCTCTGGAATGGAGCAGCTCAACCCCCTCCCCCCGCCCCACACCTTCATACACTGTGGTACAGGAAGAACACCCTGCCCCTCTTCTTATTTTCTTTTGGCATTTTGGGTAGCACCTCAGGATGACATAACACAATGCTGTGCTGCCACCCCAGGCTATCCTCAGCGAGTCTCTAATTGCTATGATGTCCTACACATTATAATGCAAGTCATCCCTTAATTTTTGACCAGGCACAAGAGTGGCCCTGGACCTGTGTCCCCACATTCCAAAACACAACCTTGCCCAGGAAAGGAAAGATAGGGTGGGAATGACATAGGCAAACAGCATGGCATGCCAAGAAAGACCGGGAAGTTTGGGGGAGCAATCAGCCCAGTGTGATTTGTAGTGAACTGCAGCAGCCAGGCCAGCTGATGAGATCTTTGCACAGACAGGAGGGTGATGGCTAGAAAAGGGGCCCATGCATTCCACTGTGCCTCCCTTGGGAGCACTGCTTCTCAGCAGCATCACTCAGCAAGAGAGACAGAGACAAACTCAGCGTGTTCAGAAGAAGAAAGGGATTGGGACACCACAGAAGAGCGGCAGGCGGGGTGGAGTGACTACACCTTTCTGAGCTGCTGACAGGCCAGAGGTGGGCATGAGGGCAGCCTGCCCGGGCACTGATCTGGTCTATACACCGGCCAGGGGTAGCCTCTGCCAGACTGGCACCCCACTCACCTCGGCGGCAAAGTGCTTCCCACTGACAGTGTGCTCGGAGCCGTGGGGGTCATTCTGGTCCCCCCAGTGCAGATGCAGCTGCGTGGCACTGTAGCGGGACTGGAGGCCCTGGATGTGCATGTCCGGGGGCAGGTTCAGCTTCACTGTGGGGAGGGGAGGGGCAGCCTCAGAGCCCTGGCCAGCTAAGCGCTGCACAGAGCAGTCGGGTAGGAAACCTCTCTCTGGGGCCCAGACAGCAGGCAGTAGATGCAGCAAGGGGCAGACCAGAGAGATGCAGCCTGCAGCTCAGAAACTTGGGCTCTCTCCCTGAGAACATTTCCATTTTCCTAAAGCAACTGCAGTGGCACCAGCAACTTCTTGGTTCCCCTTGGAAAATGATGCCAGGAGCACTAACACTAGACCAGTGGATGGATGTTTATTTACATACCCATGTATCAGGTACCCGGCTGTGAAGCTAGAAACTTTACTGAAGTACCTTTCAAGCTTTAGAATTATATAACAACAATAATTGCTGTTTATGAAGCATTTACTATATACCACACCCCAACATACATAATCTCTAGTCTTCACAGTATCCATCAATGGATATGTCCTTTCCAGATGAAAGCTCAAAGAGGTTAAAATTCTTACCCAGAGTCTCATGGTTCAGAAGTAGTCAAGCCAGGATTCAAATTCCAGTTTATCTGACTCCAAAGCCTGGGTCCCACCCCACCCCCACCCCCACACACACACACTGAACTGCGTGGTCCCTTGACTAGTTCGTGATGGCTCAGAATTCACTCCAGCAGCACAGCCAAAGGACCAAGGGGCTCAGACCTGTGACATCCCCTATCTTGAGATGTGCAGCTTCTGAGAGGTGCTGCCCCAGCAGAACTGCCTCCAGCATGTGCTGGAGAGGGTGGTCTAGGCATCCCTCAAGGCTCTCCTCTTCCTGGGTACCTCAGCAGAGGCCCCTCCCTGCCAGATGGAAAAGGACAGGCCAGGGAGCCCAGGGACGCTCAGACACAGCCCTTCAGGGTTCTGAGGGCTCTCCTCACCTGAATGGCCATTATTGGTCAGGATAAACTGCTTGCTGGCAGACACATTATAGCCGTGGAACCCAAGGGGCACGAGGCTGGCATCGTACTGGAGGATGCCGCTGTGCAGGTCTATGGGGGACTGTAGCAGACCCCCACATGATGGGTACTTCCTGGGCCAGCTGTTCTCCCCATCAGGACCTGGAAGGAGAGATTCAAGCCCAAGAAGCAGTCAGTTCTCCACAAAAGGTTTTTCCTCACCTTCTAATTGTGTTCAATAGTTACTCCTTTTCTCCTCTTAATCCCCATAGGTAAATTCTTCAAGGCCCAGAGATCTTGACCTGCAGAATCAGGTCCAGCAAACACCTCAAGACCACCTGCTCTTATCGTGATGTGGGGAAAGAAGGACTAGAGGAGCCCATGCCAGAGACTAGAGCCCAGCAAACTCTGCTTCATCTGGTCCATGGTTCATAGGTTGACACAATACACATCCTCTCCATGTGAAGTCTGGTTGACTTTCCACAATTTGGCATCTGCTCAGTGAGCATCTGTTATGAACCAGGAATTTCTCTGGGTCTTGGGGCCACCAGGATGAGCACAGCAGAGTCCCTGCTCACCCACACTGGCATTCTAGTGGGAAAGAATTGAATGAATCTGCTGGGCTGCCCCAGGTTGGAAAAATTGGTGTCCAACTGACTACAGTTCCAAGTAGTTCTTTGAGGCTGGTGGATTTGCAAGTATGATCTTCCTAACAGGAAACCCTTGAGGACATTGACTCTTGATATCCACACATAAGAACAGAACCCAACCTGATAGGGATGCTTGAAAAGTGTCAAATAATTATAGGCCCAGAGTCCCAGAGTGAAGCACGGGGTTTAAGCAAGGAAAAAAAAAATGACAATCATAAAATAAACTAATTAACATTAAACGGATTATTACAATATAATTGACAAACTATAAGTGAGGAGGAACAGACTTAAAAAAAAATCCTCCAGGGCTCAAGCTTCTTGCTAACTACCAGATAGCAGTCTCTCCTCCGGAAATGAAAATAAACATCCCATGTTCAGATAAGTGTTCTTACTCCCACAGGGAAAAGTCTTGAAAGAATGTAAATCTCTGTTTAAAAGATTATCTCCCATGGTAATTAAACGGATTTCCAGGCTGCAGTTTCTCCAGAAAAGCAAATGGTTGGCATGTCACGGCTAGTTACAGTAAAACCACGGTGCTCTGTGGCTCTCTCAGAGTCGAGTGAGAACCAGGCTCTGCCATCTGGGCTCCATTCATCAGTATTTCGACACAGGGAAGGGTGTCAGCTAGAGCAAAGGGGGAAGGAACACCACTTCTTCTGGGAATCCTTCCATAGGCAGCAGCACTGTCTCACAGGAGTGTGACTGCGTATGCTGGCCCCACAGAATCCCAACCCCTGCGCTGGTTCTCTAACTAGGGGCTGCATGTGAGCGTGGGGAGAATCAGAAGTAATACTCAGCACCTATGTTCATTTTAAATGCTATGAGGAGTTGGTCTCAGGTTTAGTTCTTCCAGGTCTGGACATGCACGGTGGAACTCTACTGATTTTTCAGGCTGTTTTGGATAAGCCTTTTCAGAAATGTTAGAGCATGAAAAGATTTCAGAATCTCCAGTCCAACCTTTCATTGGATCCCAGTTCTGTCACTTTGTGCATGCCAAAGTCTCCAGCACGCTATACTATTTTTATTGTCAGTCTCAAAGCCCCAGACTCAAAGCAACTCAACAACACCAAGATGGTGGCTGGGGGAGAGGGAGGCTGGAGGACACCAGAGCAACCACTCCAGGAGCAGACTGGAGGAAAGCACTTACTCAGCTGGGGGCAAAACCGAGTTCTTCAGGGGCAGCAGGGGCAGACTGATGCAATCATGAGGCATCATGCAACCCAAGAGTCAGGCACAGGCACAGCACAGGCTGGCAAGACCTCGCCAGTGAGGCTGCCAGCATCACCGTACTGACAATCCACCTGGGCCCACAGCCAGGGTAGTGCAAGCTGCCAGCCAGGCACGAATGGAAAAACTCAGCAAGTGAAGAGATGAAGCAGTGAGATTTCTCCTCACACACATGACTAAAGGGAACTGAGTTAGAAGGACTTTCTTTTCCCAGAGTGGAAGTTCAAAAAGGTTTCATCAAGAGGGCAGTTTAGTGACAACTGAACAAGAGCTCCCTGAAGACAGGGACATCTATTTTCATCTCTGTGACCCCATGTTATGAGTAGGGTCACATGCCTGATAGGCATTTGGTAAACATTTTCCCAAAGAATTAAAGACCCAAAAGGACAGAGAGCTCGGGAAAAAGTTATTGGGGGGAATTTTTCTTTTTTATTTTTCCCTAAATACTATTTACTGGAAGTTAGTACAAAATTAGGTATTGGGGGGCAGGAAAAACGAAGTATATTAACGGCACTAGAGTCAGTGTTGGCAAAACCTTCCTGGAAAAGAGAAGCAGCTATCTTAGACCAGGAGAGTCCAGAGAGCAAGATTCCAGCACCAGCTGTGCCACCACCTCAGTGAACAGCCTCATGCAGGTCATGTTCCCTGATGGAGCCTCCAATGCCCTTTGTACAAATGGGAGGGTTGGACACTATACTCTGGAAGGTCCCTTCTGGCTCTCAAGCTCTGAGATTCATTAAGAATACTAGGACTAAGCAGCTTCACCCTCTGCATTGGGCGAGTTTGAACGAGTTGGAGAAGGTTGCTCACACCAAGGCAGCCCCTGGGCATGTGACGAAGTCCCAGTGGGAGCCAGCTTTGAGAATGAGGGCACAGAGTGCTGGTGCTGCTGGTGCTGGCTGGGAGGTGGACAGCCACCTGCATCAGGAACCTGCCACTGTCTCAGCTGCCATCCACAGGGGAGCTAGTCCTTGGGCACCAGTCACAGGCCCTTATAGCAGCGGTGTCTAAAAAAGTCTTTCCTGGTCCTCCTCCTGCTTAATCGTCGTCGTCGTCATCGTCATCATCATCGTTATTATTTTACTTTAGCAATTTTGATCCTTACAACTCTATGGAGTAAGCAAGACAAGAATTGCTCCATCTTATAGAAGAAAAATTGAGATTAAGTGATTTTCCCAGAGTTAGACTTTGACTCAGTAACAGAATTAACGCTGTCAAAGGTAACTCTGTGTCCTTCTGTTTGAGTATTTCTCGAGGAGATTTTGTGCACCTGCTTCCCCCCTCTCCCCTGCTCTCCTTGAAGGCGAGGACCAGGGCTCATTCATTCCTGCATTCCCCACAATTCCGGGCACAGAGCAAGCGCTCACATGTTTAATGGGCTAACCTCTCACGCCTGTTCTGAGCTTGTTCCTTTCCAGGAAAAGGAAACACACACCTTAATTTTCCCATATGTTTTTTCCCCTCAAAAAAGAGTAGGAAAATGGATCACTTGTTCAGGTTCAAAATGTACCCTCCTAGCTTTCTAGTTTATCTATGTTCTGTGTGGCCCCACTTGTTGAAAAAGAAATCTGGTGTGTGGCCTGTAGCCTGGGAGATGGCCTGCCAAGTATGTGGCTTCATAGAAGTTCATAGGACCTTCCACAGCGTGTGATGGCTACTGACCCCTTCTTGCACAGCTGGGGACACTATCAGAGCAGATTCCTGTGTTTGTGGCTTGTGAGTGGGAGATAAGGTGCCATGGGGGTGGTGGGCACAGGACAGCCTGGGGGATGTGTGACACGTGGCCACAGTAGTGTTGGCCTTGCTGGCAGCTGCACCCCGAGCTGCAATCTCTCAACTTGGTCTCGGCTTTCACGCTCATGTCAAGAGCTCTGCTTCCAGAGAACCTCTGTTGGGAGTAACTCTTCCAAAAAGCATCAATTTCCAGCTACTGTAAAAACTTGACTTCGCTCATCTGAGTTTTGACTTTGCCTCTTCAGGTGCCTGGATTCCTCCATGATTATGATAAAGGAGATCATGTGTCTCTCACAGTTTGTTTTTCCAAAGAAAATCAATGCAGTATCTCCAGTTCATAAATTTTCCTGTTCTAGGCAAAATGGTCAGAATTCCTGTTTTGAAATGTAATAAGAGATTAACATGGCACAGCTCAAAATGCCTCTCATGATTTCTGATTGGGATTTATGCGGTTCAGGGTGTAGGTCCTGCATCAATTGAAGACCAGAACATTTGTATGGAAAATTTCAAGTGTATACAACAGCACAGAGAGGAGCAAAATGATCCCAGGCCCCAGCTTTGGCAGTTTACCATTCACAGCCAACCCTACTTCATCTATACCATGCCCACTCTCCCCCATCTACCAGATAACTTTGAAACAAATCCAGATATATTTCATTTGTACTTATTCCAGTATGTGTCTCTAAAACATAAGGACTCTTAAAACAAAACCACAATACCATTATGATACCTAAAAAGTTATACATTTAATACCTTAATATTGTCAAATCCAGTCAGAATCTAAATTTTTCCAAATATGTCATAACTATTTAATGGCTTGTTTGTAAATTCAGGATTCAAATAAGGTCCCCATATTGCAATTAGTTGATGTGTTATGGCCTAGATGACAGTTTGATGGTGCGATGACTCATCAGAGAGCAACTGGGCCCCACTCCTCCAAGGCTCAAAGTGTCAGAGCCAGGCTAGCTCAGTCCATCCTTTGCCCTCAGTCGGTCATGGAGTCCCAAGGTTCCATCACCACCACCACCCACCCTGGGTTAGGCCCTCACCACGTCACACTGCAGAAGCTCCCCACGGGCGACCAGCCTCAGCCATTTTTGTTACACTGTCGCTCTCCTGAGTGTCGCTCTCCTGAGTGTAGACTCGCTCTCCTGCTATAACCAGATGAGTCTCGCAGTTGCCCAGCTTGGGTGGCGCTGCCCCATCTGTACACTCTCTTTCTCCCTAGCACACCCCAGCAGGACAGAGCAGAACCATAGCTGGTTTTCCTGGCCTCAAAATGCTCCAACCTGTCAAGGTCTTCAAAGGCACTTGTACCCCCCACCCCCAGCCCACCCCACGGTCAGGCCGGCTCCCCCACCAATGCTCACCAACCTTCCCAAATGACCTTATGCTACAAATCTGCTTACAATGCCACCTTCTTTCCTCTGCACCATTCCAACCTTGTCCACTCTTCAAAGTCCATCTCAAGTCCTGCCAAAGCTCCTCCAGTGCCTTCTCCCCCATGACACACTTCTTGGCGAGCACTCAGTGTCGCCACACCAGAAAGGT